AGCTGATCTGCTCTGGGGTGATTCTTATGTTTGTTGGATTCTTATTTTTTTCCAGAAGTAGCAAGTTGATTAGTGCTATTACTTAGTTATGGTATTGTGTAGTGCTACTGGCTCATGGAGATCTTGTGTTGGCTTCAATGGCTACTTCAGCCGTACCAAGCGCGTGTACCAACTGTACATAAACGCTATCCGATTTCTAGCAGGAAGCAATACACTAGCAAATCTAGCTATTCCGGTGAGATGCACTAGTACACGAAGTAGGCTGCTCTAGCTTCGTCGATTCTTCGGCGGCAAGCCGAAACGCACACACCTGAGACACAATGGCTATTTTTCTTTTTCTATCTCTCCAAGATAGAATAGACACAAAGATGCCATTACATATTTTTCTAGGGGATTCATTGGGTTGGCTATTCCTTTGAAATGCTTACTGATGATCTTTCACCCCCAAAAGTCTGACATTTGTTACGTGGACCCAGTATTTCTATGCACATGAATATTTCCTGTCCTTCTGAGAGTGATTAATTACATTTCCCTAATCTTTCCCATAAGCCATGCCTTTGATATGACCCATGTGGCAGAAGTTTGACATGGAAAAGATGATCCCCAGTCTAAATTTGCAATTCTCATCACAGGATCCAGTAATGGAGGGTAGCAGTGCGATGTCTCCTCTAGGAGAGCCCTCAATTCCAATGATCGCAGCATGTGCACCAGCACTATCAGGTGACAATAGCGATACGAAAAAATCAAGATATCCTAATGTATCTAACATTATGTTAATCCCTTGTGTGCTGTTGGTTGCTAAATTTTTTTTGCAGCCATGGAATCGGTCAACAGTGTTCAAAATCAAGATTTCAGCGATGCAACGTCATTCGCAGAAATTAATTCCCCATTGCTTCTCATTGATGACTCCAGTACACCGAAAAAAAATCATTCTCTCAAGAGGTACACGCGGTTTTTTATTTTAATATAATGTACATAACTTCTTATTTTTGTCCATATTAAATTGCAAGAATACATTCATGTTTGATAGGAAAATATACACTTACCATATGTCATGTCCATGTCAAACCTTAGGTGGCAAACAAATATGCTAAAACTAAACATCTGAGATATGTATGGTAGAAATTAGACAGCCCTATTTGTGTTATAACACTTGTCATAACCTGTAATACTCGCATTAAATGGACATTCCATATGGGAGTAGTAATTTTTGGCAGTGACAAAATGAGATCTCATAACCGAATAACATGTAGTCTTTAGAAGTGAGATGGTGTTGTCACGTGAGGGTAATGTTACTGAACTTGCAATCAATGTTGCAGGGTTCTTTGTATAAACCCCAGTGTGACGAGGAATTGAAGCCAAAAGTAGGGATGATATTTGATGACATTGTCTCTGTGTTGGAATTTTACAGGACATATGCACACAATGTCGGATTTGGTGTGCGTCTTGGACAACAAAGGGTCGTAGATAATGTGCTTCAATGGAAACGCTTCCTGTGTGCAAAAGAAGGCTTCCGTCCCGAGAAAGGTATAGTTGTTGTTGAGGTTTCAAAGAAAAGGAGAAAGGTTAAATTGACTAGATGTGGATGTGAAGCTTATATATATGTCACTCGAGAAAGTAATGGAAAATACAAGATAGCTTCACTCACTGAATATCACAATCACCCTTTTGTGCCACCGAGCCAGCAACACTTGATTAGATCCAATCGTCAAGTTAGTGAGAGAGTGAAGACAACACTTCACGATTGTCAGAAAGCTAGCATTGGCACTGCCTTAGCATATAGGCTGCTTAATGTTAGTGCTGGTGGTTTTCACCATGTTGGGTGCACCCAGAAAGACCTACAGAATCACTATGGTGGACTGAAAAATAAAATAAGAAATTGTGATGCTCAAATGTTGGTGGACCAATTTGGTAGATTGAAGGCTCTGAACCCTGCATTTTTCTTTGAATATGAAGTTGACGAGGTCGGTACATTGATTCGTTTATTCTAGACAGATGCATCAAGTAGGAAAAACTATGGGCATTTCAGTGATGTTGTATCTTTTGATTCGACATACAACACTAACCAATATGAATACACCTTTGCGCCCTTCACTGGAGTAAACCATCACATGCAAAGTGTGTTTTTTGGGGCGGGGTTTCTACTTCATGAGACAGAAGAATCCTATATTTGGTTGTTCAAGTCATTTCTTAGAGCAATGGGTGGGATTGCGCCTAGAGTGATCATAACTGATGAATGTGTACTAATCCTTCGTCCATGACATGATCCAATCTGCCATCTTGTTCATTTATTTTCTCCCATGCTTCTGTGGTTTTCTTATTATTACAAGATATAATATAATGCATGCCATCAGGTTTTTTGTTTATAGCTATCAAATTTGAATAATAATTTGCATCTGCAGGGCAGTCATAAAACCCCCTTTAAATTGCTCAATGCCACTTATTTGTCGTTCTCATCTGTGCTTTTAACTAATCATGGAATTGTAATCCAATTATCATAGGTCTATAATGGAATAATGAACAAAATATTTGTACTCTCTCTGTTAGACATATCCAACTATCACATGCCATTTTATTTGATTTGAAAACTCCCTTCTAGATGCTGGAAAGCCAGTTTAACTTACGAAGTTATCCTGATTGGTTACATATGTATTAATATGTTTTAAGAATTTCATCCTAAGTTTGACATATAGGTTATGTATCCTAGGTTGGAGTGCTGAATGCAGCTAGACATATACTCCCTCCGTCCAGGTTTATTAGGCCTCTCAGCATCACAAGCATGTCCCTTTTTATAAGGCATCACTTTGGAAAGGTGCATGCATGCAGCCATTTCATTGGTTGCATTGAAAGTCATTGTTGTTGGTGCTAAGGCTGGAAAATTAATACACTTCATGCATGCTTTTTCAATGGCTGCATGCATGTGAGAGAGTGCATTGGGAGTAGAATAAAAGAATTAATGTGAGCAAATTACTATGTGTCTTGGTCTAAGAAAAGTTGTCTTTAGGACTAATAAACCCGGACGGAGGAAGTATATGATTGTCTCTCTTCTCGAGATATGCTATTTTGTATATGTTTCTGATTGACACCTATTTACTTGGTGTGTTTACCTAGGTAGGTCGAACTGATCAAGTCTATAAGAGTCCAACCTCTCCCAGCAGGAAGCTCGATTACTAGGAAGCACTAACACAAGGCAGAATGATAGATAGTTTTGGTCTTGCACCAGCAAGATGCTTGTTGGGTGATGATAATGTCAGTTTTTACCACTTGGTCTTGCAGGCCATATATTAAAAATGATCTGTATGTTTCATGTACTCAAGTACTCAAATGCTTGCTGAGCACTGATAAATTTAGTCCTTAATTTGTTCTACTTCCAATTTGACATGTACGTGTGGTTCTACTTGCCTCTTGTGATGTGTTCTCATGTACTCAAGTACTGAAATGCTTGCTGAACAACGATAATTTCAATCCTTAAATTGCTATATTTTCCAGTTTGACATGTATGTGTGGTCGTACTTGATCTGGGATGGCTTATTATCTCATGTGCTAAAATATTTGTGATATATATTGTCGTTTCTTAGTGACCAAGATGTTCGACTCTCTTCAAAAATTAGTGGTGTCACATAAATGTGTCTGGATTTCATCCAGTAAATATTTTCTCAGATCTTATATGAGACGAGTTTGTTTGAGACTAAGAAGATATAGGCATTAGTACTGTTCATATCTGAAAAATGGTTGTATTTCATGAAGACTTGAGGTGCATAATGCAAATGTCCTATTTCATGTCGAACTATCAGTAGGGGGGTTTCTGCAAAATCTGCATTAAGTGCGCTGAGATGCCTCCACCCAAATCTGTACCGTTGATCTGCAATCTAGTGGTCCAGGATCTTTGTTTCTATTTTTGTACAGCAAGCTCAGATTCTACCCAAGTCGTTCCCAGAATAAGAACTAAAAGGATGAAGTGTGTGTGTCTCATCCATCCAGTGGGCATAAAACGAAGGAGAAATTAATACCTAGGAATTAAATATCTAAAGAGGCGATCATGCATGGCATAGATTCCTGCAAGACAAATATAGCAATGACACACACGTTTGGACAATAACACAATGGAATAATACTTGGTAAGAGGGCACGACACAACAGTGGATTTGGGAGAGGTGAGAGGGGCTAAAACACACTTAGCAAGATTTCTTCATGACTCGGTGTGAATTCCGAAAATTGCACCAACTTCCAAATAATGCCTTGGTATGTAGGATTTGAAAATTAGGCCTTTTAAATAATATAGCAGTCATACAAAAATATCATATGTGATGGTTTTTAATGTACGACTTATATGCATTTATGGTAGCGTGCGTCTCGCTGCCACCGTTGGGTGGCACCATTCGGATATTGTTATGCCACGTTGCTGCGATGGACACGTTAATTATCTCCCCCGTTGCAATGCGCGGGCATATATGCTAGTTACATCTATATCTATAGATCACCTAGAACTACAAGAAGAATATGTTATGTAAATAATATAACTACCCCGCAAAAAAAAACTAGACAGGACCGACCGAGCTTTTCATTAAAAAAACACACGTTCCAATGATTCCCACCTGAGCTGGAGTAGTAGGTCACACGGTAAAAGAAATATTGCATTTGATTTATTTTCTAAATTAAGCAAGAAAACGTATGTACAGAGATAATGTTGTGATTGTTCTCTCAATGAGCGAACATGGGCTCACATGCGCATGCAGTACGAGGGGTAACTATTTTACCATTAGGAACCCACAACTGTTTAACTCATTTTGTTTGCTCATACGCCCTTCTTCCAACCCTGGCTCACTAGTCTAGAGGAGGACACTACCAGCAGTGGATATACAAGAACTAAAGCTGCTAACTAGTCACATGAAATATTTGATTTGAGCACAAATTCACTAAGATTAGAAGTTGATATACACCAAAACAAAGCTGTCCACTGTGCACATGAAATCTTCTGCTTGAGCACAATTTCACTACAACTACCGAGGACAACTTGCAGATAGTATGAACTCTTCTTCCATACTATACCGTCTTGTTGACCCCTCGTTACCTTCTCTAACTGATTTATTAGATTGAACCCCTACTTCGATACCATTATTGTAAACTTGCTTAGCCACCGCATTATGTAAAACACGCCCCTCAGATGTACGAACGCCTTCTAGTGTCAACTCCACTTGCCTCATGGTTGGACGATCCTCTTCACTTAATTTTACACATGCTACGGCAATAGCAGCCACTTCTTCGACTTCTTTGCCTCCTTCCTCGATAACTTGTGGGTCTAATATATGGAGCAAATTCCCTTCCACAAACAAAGTAACAAAATGTACAACAAGACTCTCATCATTTGAGGACAAATATGAAAACGGTTTCTGCCTGGTTAGCAGTTCCACAAGGACAACTCCAAAACTGTAAACATCACTTTTCTCCGTGAGGCGTCCAGTGTAAAAGTACATAGGGTCCCAGTATCCTCTTGTACCTTGAGCCCTTGTTTCCAAGCCAGATTTCTCCATGGGAATGTACCTTGATGCTCCAAAGTCTGCTACCTTTGCTGTTAGAGTATCATCCAAAAGTATGTTAGCAGACTTTACATCTCTATGGATGATAGGTATTGCAGTGGCTGAATGAAGATATGCCAGAGATTTTGATGTTTGAATGGCTATACGCAGTCTGTGGCCCCATGATAACAATCTTGGTCCTTCGACATGAAGATGCTCATAAAGTGTTCCATTGGATATGAAATCATAGACTAACATTGGGACTTCAGTTTCAAGGCAGCAACCAAAGAGTTTTACCACATTCCTGTGGTTGATTTGTGATAAGATGGCAACCTCATTTATAAACTCATCAATCTCCTTCGGAACCACCCTTTTTGGTTTCTTGATGGCTACAATATGTTGGTTTGATAAAATCCCTTTGTAAACAGTACCATGCCCTCCACCGCCAACCACAAGATCTTTATTAAAATTATGTGTTGCCTTCTTTAGCTCTTCCAAGGTAATGATCATCCTTTCCGCAATACCAGATCTTTGAGATACCAATTGTTCCAGTAATTGTCCATGATTTTGCTCAAAGAACTTCCGTTTTAACATATATGCTCTCTGATGTTTCAGTTTCTTTGAAACAATGTATGAAGTCATATCGAAAAAACTAGACCCGCTCCACACACAACCTCTACAATGGCAGCGATCATACCTAGAAAAAATACACCAATTTCTTTAAACATCCAAATTTAGGTGAAAACAACTAAATTATTGTCATTTTATAGCACCTCCCCTCTATCTACACCTGGTAAGAAACAAAATACATTATCTTGTACTACGACAAAATTTGTAACTTCCTATAGCGAAAACAGTAACTTCCAGGGAATGAGAGTGAGCACTAAATATACTTATCATCATCTGAGAAGGAAAACAATGTCCTGCATACATGGTTGCTCACCTTTAGATGAGATGATGTCACATGAAGAAAAAATGAAAGAGAGAGATAGAGAGTCAAATATCTGGAAATTACAAATAATACCAGAAATATAAATTCACACGTGCATGCCTCTATTGTATGTGTATGCTGCATGCTAACCTTTGCATCCATGGGTTTTGTAGGGGTTGTCGTGGTAGCCTTCCCGACACTGGCAATAATAGCGTTTGTTCATCCCAGCTGGTATGTATCTACTATGCTTGCTCTTGCAGATGTCAATAGCAACCTCCCTAGGGCAATTTAGGTCCGATGATGACTTCACATGATCAACATCTTGTAAGATTAATGATTCTGATGGCAACATCTTCCATTCTATAACAATAGGAACTAACGGCGCAAATTTCAACTTGTTTTGAAGCGCCTGCATTTGTTGGTCGGAGACAAGGCGGTTGTCGAACCACCCCTCCTTCGCTATTAGGGCATACGAGGGTCGTGACATGTTCGCCTGGAAGTTGTTGGGGTCAGTATACTCGAGGGTGAGCAAACCAGGCAAGCCTCCCTCCACGGGCTCGGAAATGCGTGCCTGGCAGCAACCCATGCTGTAGCAGTTCTTGTTGCTTGCAAACGGCACCCTCCCAGCGCCGACATCTCCCTCGGAGCAGAAGCTAGTGCAACCGCTGATGATGGATGCATCACTGTCATGCCCAAGTAGCGTTGCCTGAACGTTGCACCCTGAGAGGATGAGCTCATTGCGGGTGGACAACGAGTAGAGCACATCCCCACGGCTTGTGAAATAATTGTTAAAATCAAAACCGAAGTTATTGTTGGAGGCAGCTTCAATGGCAACGACAGAGCTAGTAACATGTAATGTGGTGTTTGGGAGGAAGATCTCTTGAATCTGGAAGACGCCGTAGCTATCCAATAATAGTCGCGGAGGCTTGCCGCTTGGATAGTCGCATGTAAGGTTGAAGCCTGGCCGGTAGCAGTGGGACGGACCGATGCCGAATGGGTACGGTATATCCACATCTCCACATGTCCTTTCACATGTACTGCCTTCCGTTTCTGCTTCGAAAAAAAAGTATACCTAAGCTAGTCGAATGTGCAATATTCTAGGTCACATACTATATACTACTGTAGTGTATTAGTAATAAACGATATTGGTGTTCATAATGCTTTGATGAAATATTACTCTATAATATGTTGTTTATATATGAAATAACTTAACTGTCAGGGAGTACTTTCGACAACAATTCTAATGGTGCCAACATCATGTCAAACAAACCATATATCAATCTAAAAAATCTTGATCAAATTCTGATCTCAACAAAACCTAATATGCCTCTTACATACAAAGAACACATATAGGAAGTAATGATACATTGTATTTTTACTTGCTAATAGTAATTCATTAACCTTCATTAAAAATAAACAATTAATTAATTAGCATAGCTTACCTGTGACGGAGACAAAAGGGATGCAACCACCGGGTAAGGCCTTGTCACCATGGGTTCCTGGTGGGCAACCGCAGTCAAACCCTCCATCTCTATTGGTACAAACACCACCATCATGGCACGGATGAAGCCCACACTCGTCGATATCTACACCAAAGAAACATCCGTGGTTAATGAAATAATTCCTCTCTACACAAACATAGGACGCTTTTACAGTTTAAACAAAGAGAGTACATCGTTCAAGTAGTACTTGTTTATGATGTATCTAATGACATCGATTTGGATGTAAATGCAATAACTTTTGTCTAGTTTTAAACTAGGACAACCTTTACAAAGTTTGATTTGCTTTTTGTGTGGGGGCAAGTTTAATTTATAACGAAATCTACAAGCACTATATTTTGAAATGAAGCGATTACTATGCATCCAAATTTAATTACCACTCATAAGAAAACAACAAACCTTGGCATCCGTCGGGTATATAGGGGTTGCCTTCGTAGTTACTCTCGCAGCGGCATGTATATCCTCCTCGTGTACCCTCATCGCACACGACGTGGCCATGGCCATGGGAAGAAGAAATGTTGGTGTCGACCTCCCAGCTCGGCCACACGGGAACTCCGTCCACGGGGATACCCGTTGTTCCCCTAGCCGACGGCTTCCGAAGCAGCAGCGGCTCGGAAACCTGTTTCTTCTCGAACCAACCATGGTCGGCGACGAACACGCGCGTGGGCATCCGCTCCTCGTCGGCGCTGCGGTTCCGGCCGAACCACTCGAGCTGCACCCGCACGTTCCCGACCACTGCCGCCGCGGAGACGATGGGCGCCTGGCAGCAGCCGACGCCGGCGCACACCGTGCTGGTCTCGAGCCTGGACGGCACGTACCACATGGGCTGATGGGGTTGATCGTCGCCGCACAGGGTGGAGCAGGCGCTGAGTGTGGCGTTGCCGTGTTTCAGCGTCACTCGCACGTCGCATCCCAGCAGGATGAGTTCGTTCCCTTCGCCTCCCCAGTCGTCTGATAGCATGATGCTGTAGGTCCCGTGGTCAGGCCCTCCGGAGAATATTGAGCCGTTGCCGTCACCGTCGATCTTTACGTCGCCCGGGGTGCGTTCGACGAGCACCGACGACTCGCGAAGGCTGAAATGGTCCACCTGGAGGATGTCTCCGCCGGCGCCGCGGAGCAGCAGCCGCGGCGGGGTCGTAGTATTCTCGCAGGTGAGGTTGAACCCCGGCCAGTAGCACCTGGCCGGCCCCATGCCGAACGGATACGGCACACTGATGTTGCCGCAGATGGTGTGGCAGCCCGGCATCTCCATCGGTGCCGGAGCGGGAGGTGAAGCAGCTCCACCGGTGGCGAGCGCCGCGGCCGTGACCGCTATGCTGACGATCTCCAAGAGTGAGATGGTCATGTGCGCCATTGATGATCGAGCCTTTGTCGTTATAGCTACAGTTCACCACCATCGTCTAGCTACAACCATCGCTTATATGGCTGGCTCAATCATAACTCACCTACTGCATACCGCGGAATCATTTCAACGACATCGACGCGGACTTTAGTGAACACATGAGTCAACTAGTACACACCACATACCTAACACGCTAGCTACAGTTCACCTACCACCGTCGTCTAGCTCAACCATCATAACTCACCTAGTGCATATGATTGACGCGGGCGTTAGTGAACACATGCGTCAATTAGTACACACCACATACACCTAACACGCTGCTTTCCCAAAAGCATGGAATATCTATTTTTACTCTCATGCATCACATGAGCAACGCATGCATGCAGGTTTATCTTTCGTCTCATGCATCACATAAGCAACGCATGCATGCAGGAAACCTGCATCATGTTTCCTGGTTTCTTCGTTCACAAGCTAACATCCATGCTCGGTCATTAATCATTCTCAAAATCTTTTGAACAAGGATTTCTCTAGAAATCGAACGTCTGATTTTTGACCATGACAAATCTAATGTTTTTCATGACAATTATAGTTGTGGACAGGATGGCAAATTTCTTTCTTTTTTTGCCAGGATATGTCATGCTTGCTAAAGAAAGTTTGATTTGCCATTATTTTTAACATTACAATTGATTAAACATAAGAGCACTGCTACATCCATGGGCATTATGGGGCTTGATCAGTTGGCATGTTTTCATTGGAGGTAAGGGGGAAGGAGGGG